GTAAGGGGCTTGGTGATTTACCACCTTCCTGCACTCCAATGCTTTGCTAGAGCTGGTAAAATGGAACCAAATCACCTCTTCAATGGATTTGGTCCCCTTCAACCAGCTGTAGCTATGCATTGATCACTCCGGGACCGCTCACACTTCCCATGCTGGAGCCCCTGTCGATATTGTTAGGAGCTGTCCCACGCTCCCCTCCGCGGCTGCGTCAAGCGACGGCAGCCAAGCCAAGAGAGAAGGTACCGAAAGGCGTAGGAAGCTCCGCACTCCCGAGATCCGAGGTTGTATTAGCAGCATTGTTTCTAAATAAACAGCTACAGGTGTTTTAAGATTCTGTCTTTATTCAGTAAAAACCTCATAACATTTATGAGAACATGGGCAAACATTCAAATAAACACATTTTCCAGTGATTTATTGTCTCCTGTTCTTTGCCCTCGAGCTTGTTGCCCTTTAAAGAAACACAAATAGTATTTGCAGTGCGCGGCTGCACTGGGCAAGTTGAATTTATGGGTGGCTCTCTACGTTTTTCTCCCCTTCCTCCCCCTCATCCTCCCCCCCGCCTCTTTATTTTTTAAATACACATTGCACAAAGGAGGACACTCCACAGGGTAGAAACTGTATTTATTATCTACATGCTGGGTGTATTATTTACTATTGAAAGTTAGGAAGTCTGTCTACAGGCTAATTTCCTAATTATAGGTCTGCTCATAGAGATACATTCCTTCCCCAATTCAGTCTGAACAAAAAGTCCTCTTTTAAGGAATTTTCTCAACATAATATTTTATTGAAGTTTTTAGATCGTTCTCTTTTACACACAACTTCAACTGAGCAATATTTAGTACAAGCACGAAGGCAGGGATAGCTTTTAGCATTATAGGAAGTAATTATTCAACTCTGCTATCTCCCACCTTGTCTTTCTGAGGACTTGCATGATCACAGAGCGAAGTCCCGCTGTTCTCATGAACACTGGACATTTGAGAGGCCAGTGCTCAGAGAGGCTGCCACCCAGAGCAACCCCCTGTGCCCAGCTCACACCACCTGCAAACCCCACAGAGCCACCCAATAACACAGGGAGCGCTGGAAACCACCAGTCCATTCCAAGGCAAAAACTCCTATTTGCCAGCACATGAACACGCGTGAAACCTGCACTTTCACTCAGATTCACTTTTCAATTTGGAGTCTAAGGGAGTTCATTACTCTGAAGAAATGATTGAGAGAAGAGATTTTGAATGCAAAGAGCTCTAAGCGCGGCACATGCTTACGAAGCGACCTGCAGTGTGACTAAAGACCCGTTCACGAGATCTGGTGCAAATTTGGAGCTAACTGTGGCAACAGCTATGAGAATACACCCACACCTCACAGCCATGTCTTCAGTTCAGGAGTCTGAAGTCACAGGTACATGCATAAATGGAACTTCACCCAATTTTGGTAATGTGGGAAAAACACAACCAATCCGCACAAAATCCTCAGGCTTCCCTTTCCCTCTCCTCTCCTGCCTGAGAAGTCTCACTAATACAGAGAGGGTGAAGTTTGCCAGGCTTTGAGGTTCACACTACTTCAAAAACATCCAAGAAAAACAATGAACTTTCAAGTAATATGCCTGGCTTGGTTAAAAATCATTGACAAGAAACCACATATTAAGTAAAATCACAACTTCCCCACATTCCACTATAAACTTCTTTTCTCTATGTCCCATGCACAAACTCAAGCTTATCTACAGCATAAACTGAAGAAGTTCTACCTCAGACTCAACATTATTTTAGCAGCATAAAAAATGAGGTGTCCTGTTTCCTTATCAGCTCGAAAGCTTTAAACAGAGGCCAGTTAATGCAAGGAGGGAATGGAGCCCTACTAAGGTGCTCCCCAAACACACTCTACTGCTGTTTCTGGAATGCACTGCCAAACTGCCACAGCAGATCAAACATAAAGGGAAGAGGAGAAAAAAAAGCTTCTTGAATTAATTTGCTATTTCTCTTTTAAAATTTTTTATTTAAAATAAATATTTAATATTTACTACTTCAAAATATTTAATATTTAGTTTATATATTTGATATATAAATACTTAATATTTATTTTTAATTTTTATATTTATCTTCATATTTATTTTTATTTAATATTTAAAATTTTAATATTTATCTTTTTAAATTGAGCACTGGAACAGGCTGCCCGAAGAGGTTGTGGAGTCTCTTTTGGAGATCACTTGGACGCAGCCCTGTGTCCCGCGCTCTGGGTGACCCTGCGTGTGCAGGGGGGTTGGACTAGATGACCTCTGAGGTCCCTTCCAACACTAAGCATTCTGTGATTCTATGATCTGTGATATGCAAAAGCCAAAAAGTTGGATTAATTTTATTTTAATCTGAAAAAAAGAGGGGGTAGTTTCAAGGGCTGTGTTCAATACAATTTGTGGGTGTGTATTGGGTTTTCCTGCTGTTTCTTTCCCCCTCCCCTTGGAGGTCCCTCTTCTACTGCTAGCAAAGGCCAGAACTCAGTAAGAAGCTCCCCTAAAGAGTACAGGCTGCTCCCCCAAAAATAAAGTTAATTTTGAATACTCATTTGATATTAACTGTTAAAAAATTGTATAGAAGTCTAGTTCACAGTTTACTCTTGTGATACTCAAGCATTCAGTAAACACATTTTTCTTCTCAGTAACCAAAAGGAGTTGTCCTGGTTTGGACGTGGAATTTTACTCATATGCATCTATGAGTGTGTGTGTGTGTATTCATATGTATGCATATGTGTGTGTATATATTTTATACACACATATACATACAATATATACTATATATCATATTGCATATATAAAAATACATATTTATATAATACATTATATTAAGATATATTACTAATCTGTCATATATTACATAATAAATATATTATATTAATATAATATTAATATATATTATACACACACACACTACTTTTATATATTATACAAGGTTTTTTTTTTTTTTTTTTAATCTTTGATCTTGCAGTGATTTTAGTGTAATGTATCAGACACCATTGCTCAAAGCCATAAAGAAACTCCAAGTAATAAGATGACGGCTCCTTAGGGCAGCTCTCCAGCTGAATCCATCACCCCCTGGCTGGGACCCATACCAGCTGAAGTTCGGGCAGTTACTTTCAGATGTTTTAACTCATTTTTGTTCCATGCATTTAACAGATTGGCAGTACCTATTGTACTATATCAGGTGCAGAAGGATAAAGCAGCAAATCTAATAAACTTTGATTAATTCAGGAAAAGGCCTGTTACATAACAATAACAGAACAATAAAATATCTGACCACCAGTGGAAGTCTGAAATAAAGCAAAATACACCTTCCATGGGAAACAAGATAGTGCTGTGGCTTGAGAGAAAAATGGGGAAGGCAAAAGACTTCCAGAACTTTTCCTTTTTATTTCCATTTATTTCTTCCCATGTTGATGTGTAAAATATTTAGCTCCATGAACAACCAAAACTATGCTATGATGAAAGAAGTCTCTCTTTTTATGTGTTTTATAAGAGGACAGATAGAGTTGTAAAATAAAGAAATAAATAAATTTTAAAAATGATACTTTGAAACTTATACAAGGTAAAAACCACTAATACCAGAAATATTTTCCATCTTTCCAGTATAAACTTAGGTAAAAAAGAAAAGACTCCAGGAAAAAAAATGCCATGTGCACATGTACATCATATTTAACAGGAGACAACTGTCAAATTTACTCAGTCTGAACCACAGTTCATTCACAGATTGAACCCCTCAATCAAGAAAAACGCCTGTGGTCCATGAAATGACCACTCACAGGCAAGTCTTCAGCAAGCAATTCAGCAAACCCTATGGAGAGGGTTTTTTCACGCACTTCTCCATCTCATTCTGGTTTCATGACAAAACAGAGCACAGCTACCTGCCAGAAGCCTAAGGAAAGTAATGCACAGCAAAAGTGCCCACATAAAAAACACCCTGTCGAGGCAACTGGGGACAGAAAGGAGTATTCCGGGCTACTGCTGTTATGAGAATACAAAAAAAATACAGACATGAATAAATCATCAGGTCAGCCTTAGCAGAATGCCAAAGGATACTGCTTTCACTTAAGTGAAATACGAATTCCGTGGAAAACCAGACACATTTGTTCCTGTTGTCACATCCAGCCACTTTACTACACTGATATCTAATTCCATTCAATGCACATGAATACTTTGCTTGTTGCTAGCAGTTTTAATAGGTATGTATAGATAGGTCATGTTTAGGTAGATAGATGTTTTAATAGATACTAGCCCAGATTTTATTCCCGTAGATTAACGCACACAGACCCTTATTGGCCTAATGGCACGCAAGTGAGAAGCAGAATTCTAGAGCAGAAAACTGTAACATCTCATGCAAATTAAATTCTGAATTGTCCACCATATGAAAACATACTACTACTTAAGTCTTGTTAGAATGACAAAAGCACAAAACAAATTATGCCTCGAAATAAGTGCTCTTGTAATGAGCAACTTTGAAATAAGAAACTCCTTCTACAAATACTAGAGAAAGAAAAATCAAATGTGTTTCTTACACAAGCATATGCCATTTAACATGGCAGCCCTATGCTTCCCTTGCAGCTGCACGGTATCTTCAATAATTATTCACCAGTAAGCACTTTTAAAAAACTCAAAGCCTTCCTCAATTCTAACATTCAAGAAAGGCTGAAACATTTTTACCAATCCTATCTCAAGATCTTACTCAGTAACTTCTTACTTGGCAAAACATTAGCTTGCAGTAATTGAATTTTCATTTGCTACGTGGATTTATCCCAGGAATACGCAGATACCTAACCACAATATTAAACCAAGCAGACTAGCGTCACTTAAACACGGCTACCCAGCTACTAGCCATGCTAATAACGCACACCCAAGCAACAGCAAAATTCAAGACATGGAAGTATACGGAAGTTTAACAATCCTTTCAAAGAACACCACAACTCTACCCCCTCCCCTTTTATTATTTAAAGGCCAAATAACCTCCGAAGAGGACTCTCACCTGGGGTTCCCTCGCAGGGCGGCGTGGTGAAGCGCGTTGAAGCCGTTGTTGTTGGTGATGGTCACGTCGGCGCCGGCCTCCAGCAGCACCGCCAGGATGTCGTCCCGCTTCTTGCTGATGGCGTCGTGCAGCGGAGTGTCCCCTTCGGAATCCTAAAGCCCGGAACAGCTTCCGTCAGCTTTGACAGGCATGAGGAAGGTGCTTCAACAGCGCTAGGAAAAGATGACGGCGCAAATACAGAGCGCCTCGTATCCCGAAGTGCAGCTACGCTGCAGGGGTCACAGCAAGCTGCTTCTCGCTCTGGTTTTGTGGACCTGGCTGGAGTAGCTGAGCCCACCTCGTGCTCTCGCCTTCCAAAGCTGCACCAGCACCCCAGCTCAGCCCAGGGCCCTTGACAGCCTTCAGGACCATCAAGGGCATCTGCTCCCCTATGAGGCCAGGCTTTATCTTCACAGCACAGCACAGCAGCCCTCAATGCAAGAGGGGTGGTCAGCCACGGAGAAGGGACAGGGCAGGCAGGTGACTTTGTGCTAGGGGGATGAATTCTGAGCCAGCAGTTAACTATCTAAAAGATACCACCAAAAAAGACTGCTTGAAACAAAGAAGAAATAAGCAGGATCAAAACAAGGTGCTCTCCCAATAATGCATTCAAGGCAATTCTGTTATTTTAACAGGTGTGGAGCATTTTCCAGGGAACAAAAGCCAATGTGATAAGTAATACGAAACTTTCAAAGCTTGGTATTCTTAAAATATTTAAGTTTTTTATGACTAATACTATGGCTAATGTTAATACATTATATAAAGCATATAAAAATATTTCAGCAGATAACTGAAAGAGCAAAGAATTTGTGTTTTAGCTTGCTATAGTTGCATTTTTTAAAAAAATCTTTCCAATAAGGGAAAATATTTATTATTTCTACAAGCAATATGTACATGACTTATCCAAAGGCCCTAACATTTGGGTTGAAATGGAATGTTCTGTGACTAACAATAACATCTATTTAAGTTTGTTTATTGCTATGTAGGCAAAGTCTCTAAGCTTATGCTTCCTGCACACTCCTGACACCATGCAAGTCAAGACGACTTTTGTCACTGCCACTGACTCAGCTAGTGACTGAGAAACTCTGGAATTGAACATTTTAGGAATATACTATGAAAAGGAATCTTTACAATATTTACAGTAAGAATCACAAATTGCCAAACAAAAAGTGTCCAAAAATGGAAACATTTTCAACCAGCCTGCCAAAATCAAAAGACTTTCATGCAGCTTAACTGACTGTATTACTTGAATTTACTGCTTCTAGACCAGCACATGTTTTTGTTTACGCAAAGAACTCACTGAGAAGCAGGAGCAACAGCCAAATAAACTCCAGCCACGCTTCAATCTGACACGTTGCCCGTGCTCGAACACACAAAAATCAAACTTCCTTCAGAATGGATCTGAAATTGCAAAGGTAACTATATTTTCCAGGCAGAGTTTCACCACGCCATTACACTGAACTTAAACCAGATTGCTGTCATTAAAAGTCAAAATATCCAGTTGGGTTATCCACACACCATACAACACGCTACATATATACAGGTGTACATACACATATGTATATTATACAATGCACCCAGACACCCTTTATTGGGTCAATACATCAAAATCGTTATCAGATCGAATCTTTAACCAGCAGTAACCAGCATGTGAAAGCTCAGCCTTGGTAAAAATCAAGGCAGTGCCTACCAAGGCAGGTAGAAAACAGAGAAATTCTTCTACTCAGTAGTTTTTAGAAAATTTGGTGATCTTGTGGTACGTGAATATATGCCTTTAAAATATCATTGACCTTCAAATTACGGAGAAGCAGAGGGGCAAATGTGTTATGCAGTAGTCTGTGCAAATGTCAGTATCAGTTGGCAGGACACATCAGATGCCTAGCTAGCTGTCAACTAAATAAATCAACATTTTTCTTGCTGATCACTTGTTGCAGCAAAGGCTGGGACAGCTAACCCTACAAGGTCTATTCCTTTCATTTTTTTGGTCTTACATCTATCACCTCCACGCAGCATCTACATATAGTCAAACTGCATCATTCAAGAGCTAATAAATAAATAAATAAATCTAGACGAACGTTTTACTTCACCTGGAGACTAGGGTGGCAGCCGAAGTCCAGCAGAGTCTTGACGACTTGCAGGTGGCCTTTGTTGACGGCGATGTGGAGCGGCGTCTGCCTGCGCTTGTTGCGGGCGTTCAGGTCGGCGCTGCCCCTGTGCAGCACCTCGATGACGGCGCCCTCGTCGCCGAAAGCCGCGTGGTGGACGGCCCGGTCCCCGTCCTTGTCCTGAAGCACAAACACCGGCGTCAGCCCCTTTCCCCCATGCTTAAACACCGATTTAAACTGAGCCGCTGTGCATTTTTTTTCTTGCCGTTTGAGGGAATTTAATCAGATGACCAAGATATGATTCAAACAGTGATAATAATAAAAAAAGATTTAATCTATAGCAACAGATGATGAAAAGCCTGTTGCAACTGAAAACAAACATATACATTCTCTTCAGCTACTACAACATATATTCTGTGACACTGGTATTTTATATCATGCAACTTTTGCTCTGAATCTATGCACGACGCTTTCATCAGGAACGTGGATGGATTCATGCTAATTAACCTTATTCTAACCACAAGTGGACTGAACAACAAGAAATATACTTCAATATTTATATTTACTTCAAATATACTTCAATATTTATCATATATGTATATATATGATATATATGAGATATACATATATATAAAATGACAGCATACAAAAGTGCAAAGTAAAATATCCTGTCACTGAACCTCTATAACTTCTCATAACAAGACATTCACTTTTATGCTTTCCATACCCACTCGTGCTACCTAAGTACCTTTCAAGACAGCAAGATTCCATCACAGGTTCATCTAAAACAAGCAAATTGTCAGAGGACAACAAAACATGTCTATTCAGAAGGGGAAAGGACCAGAAATGGGAACTTCTCCCTGCATTTCTCTGCTAGCTTTATTGAACACTACCAAATGAAAATCTACTGCACTACAATACTGTAAAAATATTAGAGCGTTTCTTTCTGGAGAGCATTTCATTGCACAGGTGAGTTTCTTGTCTATTCATATTTACAGTCTGCTAAGGACACTGAGATATGATGAAGCCTTTTTTTTTTTTTTAAACATACTTACTAGTGCTTACATATCTTAACATATTGCAACTTTGAGACACAAAACATGAAATTTATGAACACTTAATGCCTAAAGCTGCTGTACATGCTTGAATAGGCCTAGAGCCAAGCAAGCACAAGTATTACTGCCCACTAGCATCAAAACAGGTTTCTCAGGAGCCGAATCCCACCGGGCAGTCCTTCCACAACAGAAGTTCTTCCAAACACAGCAGTCCTTCAAGTAGAATATTATATATAACACGAGCTACGATAATACATCTAGGAAAAAACCTAACAGTTAACTGAACATTCATTCTAAGACTGAGACACAAGTCTAAATATTAAAACTACACAGATCAAAAGTAATGTCAGCAGTGTGTCGACTGCCTCTCACTAAGCACTGGGAGGACTAGAAAGACTAGATTCTGTGAAAGCTACCTACTGTTACCATGTCATACAGCGCCCATAGGGACTCCTTGAGCTCCGGCCCCAACCCAGAAAACCCTAATGTTTTCTGACTAAACAGAGGTATCCAGCAATCAAAACGTAATTTCTAGCCACATCAGCATAAAGTGGCCAACACTACGTCAGTACAAATCACAGTGAATATAAACAATCTGCAGCAGTGACTGTAAGGGTACACAAGATAGCTTGAACATAGCAAAAATGAAGATTTTATCCATTCCTGACGTGCCAGAGATCACAGCAGTGAAATGGCTAAGTTTTTGCACTCTGCTTGCTGGGACAGTTCTGCAGCATCTTCACAGCAGTGTTTTATGGGCAGCTGACATTTTCTAAAGCCTAAATCTTTTATCATGTAACTAATTTACACATACCACCATCATTTAAACAGTTCAAGGTTACATGAAAAAGGTTTGAGAATTCAAATACAGTTCTCAGAAGTACTTTTTAATGCTAGTATTAAGATACTATCATTATCACAGTATTACAATGATGGGAATGCTTACAGTTCCATTAGTCAGACATTATTCCTAAGCCATTCAGGGAGTGCATGGGACTTCCCTCTAATGCCCCTAATTCCATTCTTACACCTGGAGAGAAGGCAGCAGGGAATTCCTCTGCTGCAGTTTGGATACCACAACACAGATGAAAAGCAGCTTAGTGCAGTTTTTAGCAGCACAGGCTATACAGTGCAGTGAAATCCCTATTTCTAAAACCAAGTCAGTTCACAGAAATCAGACCCCAGTAAGTACACACAGCATAAACTTAAGCCATCCTTACTACTCAGTAAGAAAATCTTTCTGAACTAAAGGTGATTTTATGAATGTAAAAACAATCCTAGCACCAAAGGTTCTGCCATCACTTCATCAATGTATTAGCATGTTACAACCACAGCTGGTGATGCAGTGGGGGACTGTTTTGTCAGAAGGCCAAAGGCAACACACAGCCCTGCTGCATTCTCCTACTGACATGAGCTCAAGGAAATGAAGAACAGGCTGCAACCCCTATGATCACACGCAAGCTTACATAGCTCCATGCTACTAGAATAATACTTTAAAACTCAAAACCTTTAATAATGTGAAGTATTAAAGGTAAAAGTGTCACTTTTTAATACTATTGGTTGGAGGTTAGTGTGGGAACATAATCACACTACAGTTTTTTCCTTCTCTGACTTTTAAAATATATCACCATGGTCTACAGTATTTTTGTTTGCATGTGTCTGTGTGCAAACACATGTATGTGTGCATGTACCAATAAAAAATTGAAACAAACATTTCACTGAAAAAAATGAGAGGGAAGAGAAAGACTAAAACAGGAAAACAGTAACAATGCATTCAGTATGCAATACTTCCCCCCATTCCTTTTAACAAATTCAGAACAGGTTTAAAGACTGTTTCCACAAAAACTATAACCAGACAAAAGTTTTGTATAAGTGACGTAATCATGTTGTTTACCACCTATTTCTGTTTCTCTTATCTTAGAAGAACAATTCCCATTTATATATATATATCCACATATAAACAGATATATATTTATATATAAATACAGATATATTTTATATATATAAAAGAGAAATACAGAATTATATATATTTTACATATATATATATAAATATATATAAAATACTATCAAGGGGGCCACAAGTTGAAGCTTTTTATTCAGCTAACAGAGAAAAGCCAATATAAGCCCTGTGCAATTCTCAAGAATTAACAGAGAACATTTCAGAGATTACAGTGCAAATCATACAAAACAGCCTAACTGAATTACTAAGTCCATAAAGTGCTGGAAAGAAACTCCAACAGAACTATGAATCCTGCATGCAGGAAAGCTTAGAGTCTAAGGAGACAAAAAATATTTTAAAATATTTAAGTTACCTCTGCTTCTACATCCACGTTCTGTTTCAGAAGCAACTTTAAAATGTCCACATGGCCATTCTGACTCGCTGCTTGCATAGCTGTGTGTCCAGCACACTGACCATTCACCTGGAGGTATAGCAATGATGTGAGGCAACTTGCAACAAATACATGTACATATGAGACACTATAGCAGGTTGAATTTGAGAATACTAGGAAAATGAGTGGCATGCCTTTGAAAATATGAAATGAACAACTACATAGTTGCCTTTTTGACACAGAGATGATCTATGAGGTCTGCTCTATTTAATTTCTACACTATCAACTAGATTAAAGGAAAGAAGCAAAAAAAAAATACCATTCTGAGCCATAAATTAACCCACAAAACTATTGAAACTGTTATCTGCAAGAATTACTGCTGTAGTAAGAAAGTACTTTTGCAAGAAAAACATTTGATTATGATTCTAATACACTTTCCCCAAATTAAATTCTAGATTTATTAACATCTCCTTTGGACTTCTCACTACTAAGTGAACAGGCAATCAGGAGAGGGATCCAACAAAAAACACACTAGAAAGATCTACTACCTAGCTAAATTCTCAAGCAAAAGAACTGCTTTCCTTCCTCATATTCCCTCAGAATAAAAGATGTTGAAGATCCCTCACTCACTGTGGGTATTCTCTGCTCCAACTCTAGCAGAGATAAACCTGGTATTTTAATTCGTGTCACATAACAGTGTACAAAAATTGCCCAATGAAAATGGGTGTATAACTTTTCAGACATCCCCTGCCATGTTTAATAGAACAAGAAATGGAAGACGAGATACTGGGACCAGCTGTAATTACTTCTTAGCAGACACACTGCTGACTGCTAGGAGATGCTACAACAGCTTCAGTTTCCTTCGTGTTACTAGTATCCCAAAGAGCACACTCACATCCACATCTGGTCTCTTCAGCAGGTCTTCCACTTTAGCAACATCTCCATTGGCAGCAGCTTTAACCAGTTCTTCATTGAGATCTCCAGATTCCTGGGTTTCAAATAACTTCTTCAATAGCTGGGACAGTCTCTCTGTAATTATTAAACAAATGACAAGTAAGAGTGCAATTCTAATCAAAACAGCAAAATAACAGCTAATCTGCCACATTTCTATAGGATGTAATAACCACACAATAATAAACACCATAAAATGGCACCTTTAAGTTACCATTCAGTTCTAAGTGCTTTAGAACTCTCTAACCCTGAAATCGTTCAGACTGTCACATCAAATGCTTCACAACAAAGATTTAACTACAAATAGGTGGTCTATGACAAAATATGGAGGAACAAAAATTAAAAATAGTTTACATCTATATCAGATATCTTACAGGTTAACTTAAGGTATATCCTCTCCTCTGTGATTTGAAGCATCAACTCACATTAGCCTTCTAGATAGTTTTATAGACACTGCAATTTCATCTCTTTTACAGAAAACTCTCTGCCTAACTTCTTTAGACACAGAATCCCTAAGAAAAGGTCTGATCAGTCACGCAGACAAAGCATGTGCTACTGGTTTAACTAACTTACAAAATAGCCAAAAGACCATAAAATAAACTCAGAATAGTCTTTCTGTCTCATAAAAGATGAATTAGAGCAGGCTCGACAAAACAGCTTAGACATACTGACATATATTTTTTAAAGCCTATTGTAAATAGCCAAAGAATGTTTGATTAAATTAAGACAAAGAAAAAAAAAAAAAGCTTGAACAATAATTTGAAATACATCCCTCGCTTGAGCTTGCAATCAACACTACTGTTAAAACAAGGAATGTTTTAAACATTGAAACAAGGAATGAAACCCGCTTGCTAAGCTCTTTTCATGTCTTGGTCCTTCTTCCAATACAATATCTCTTTTAATAATTTAAATTGCCCTTAGAGCAGACCTTCACAGACATATTTGTATTCTGTAGCCAAGCAGAAGCCTCTATTCCATTTGGAGCTTTTATGTTAATACACATACTACACACTGTCCACAAGTCTTCTTTTAAGTGGAATATTGGATTAGACAGACCCCAAGTCTGACTACTATTCCTATATACAAACTGCATACTAGCAGTTATCAGTTATTACTGATTATTCTTCAAACTTACCCCCAGATGCATTGCTTATAGCAGATCCTGCTGATGCCACTTTTGAGACAGCTGCAGGGTTGTATGTCCAAGATGTCCCACAAACCTCTACCTTTAGGTCACTGTCTGAATAGATCTGCTGGACCCGACCAACTTTACCTAAAGTCTGAATGGAAGAGTCAAATGAAAATAATACTAAAATTAGATACTTATAAATCAGAACATTATAACAAGAACCTTCTTTTATTATCTCAGTTTTAAAACAGTACAATCAATAACACTTTTGGCTGCATTTCATCACATTGAGCAAATTACAACATCTGAACAAGTTTTACACAGTGTTTAGTGAAACACATTACCTGTAATTTAGGAAGTGTCACCTCAACTCCTAGAGCCTCCAGGTATTTTTAAAAGCCATATTGAGAAATACTATGCAGGTTTTACTGTCACCCAAACACGTAACTACTTACGGGAAGCATTGCTTCAGCCCACTCTCCGTGGCCTCTCTGAAGAAGCTTGATCCGCTCCAAGTCGTAACACACCTGGACAAGGTCACCCACTTGAAACTGAGAGGTTCCTCCTTCTGCACCTTGAGCAGCATCTCCACTTCGCACTACGTTGGCTTTGGTGAGAACAGCTGGGTTAAACGTCCACCTAAAATAAGAAGGCATTAAAAATGTATTTTAAATGTGCAGTATGCTTAAAGGTCATCTGTATAATCATCTTCCATGATTAGATACTAGGGCATATTTGTTGTTAATTGTTTTTTGCCCATAAACTTTTTTTGGGAGTCATTAGTTGTGCTGTATAAGGGCAGGGCAAAGGATATCACCCCATCCCCTCACAAAGCAGAAGCTGTTGTACCCAACCATTAAATTCTTCAGTCTAATGCATGGCATAGATACGACTCATCTTTTAACGAAATAATCCTCACTTGTACTAGAGATTTTAATCATTTGCAGGTACTTAGCTGTTTTTATGTTGGGTTATATTCTAACATATTGCAAGGTGGTCCAGCCTTTACATGCCAGTGGGTCTAAGGTTGACTACACCCAACTAACCACATTAGCTCACTGAGCTTCAAACCTTCACTCACTTGCAGGGAGTAGTTTTGACACCATCTTCCCCAGTATTTCCCATATTTGCACAAACTAACATTCCTCTAAGGAACAAAATGCTGGGTGTGCATCAAACCAAGGGCTATATATGCACATAGCACATCTTAGGTCACTTTCCTGAACGTCCCACTTGCATTGCTGCTTCTATTCCCCTTGGAATCAAGAGACTGAAGTTACAAAGAAAAATTCTATTTAAAACATTATTTTTTGGAAGTTGAATATTCCACATTTCTTTTGAGATTCAATTTTTCACTGTGAGAAGCAGCAAGATTCTTTTCACACTAAGGTGTTTTCAAAAGCACAGAATTTTTCTAACAGGTAAGTCCTCATTACACAGTGCAGAAGGAAGGAAATTCAAGGAAATTTTGACACATCCAAATAGGACAAGAGAAAGTTTCTGGAGCCAAGTCACCATAAGCGTTGAAGAACGTTGGTGTGAAGGAATGATGATGAACAGTGCCTAACAAACCTGTTGCCACTTGGATACTGCACGACTATGTCGTGATCCTCATCAATGCCACACACTGTTCCAGTTGTTGTTAAGGTTTCGAACATGCCGTCTGTCCATCCTCCGTGACCATGCTGCAAAGACTGCACAATTTCTAGATCAAGGTCAATGTTGACAAGGTCACCAATTTGCAGCCCACCTGGATTTCTGTTACCATTTTGCTCACCTAAAAGCAAACAGATAGAACATGTCTGTAAGACCACAGCAAAAATCCCAGTCATCTAAAGAATAAAAATTATTTTCCTAAGCAGAACTAATAGCCACAAAACCTCTTAAAAACCTGCGCTGACCAAGAACAGAGAGAGGCAACACGTGAAAAGGAATTTGCCACCCTTAGTATGGAATTTACTTTTTCTATGGAATTTACTTTTTCTATGGAATTTACTTTTTCTATGGAATTTACTTTTTCTATGGAATTTACTNTATGGAATTTACTTTTTCTATGGAATTTACTTTTTCTATGGAATTTACTTTTTCTATGGAATTTACTTTTTCTATGGAATTTACTATTTTATATAGTAAGCAGCTATTCTGTTTTAATCTGGTCCTTGCTACAACTTTATTTGCACTCTACTTTCAATATTGCCAAGCTTTAAAAATAATTCTTGAGTTTTGAATGACAGTCACACTCACAAACCAACTCACAGCCTGAACACATCTCTCACCTGTCCTTAGAAGGCAAATAACAGGGAGAGAGGTTATAACATTGTGAGAAGGGGGAAGATGCAGGATAACTTGATAAGAATGAAACAAAACTTCTGAGACAAGAGTTTTCACTATCATCTCAGGGCAACTTAACATAACTGAAGGAGAAGAATTTATAGTACAGTCCCCAGCTATCTTTACTAGCTATTTTTTATACTTCCAAACACTGGATCAACCTAAATGCAAGCTACATGTACAACACACATATCTAATTTCAAAGCAACATTTGAGTTTAGTGGGAAAAAAAAAATCCCAGCTGATGTTAAAGTTAAGATGATGAACAATATGCAAGCTTGCCCTGAAGGATACAGGCCAGAAGAACCTAAATTTACCTGCACAGTAAGGCATCAGTATATGCTCATTCGTGGCAGATTAATATGACAAAATTAATTCTAAATATAGAAAACACAAAGATCAAAGTGTCTCAACTTCTTATTTCTGAACAATTAGTCTATTTTGACAGTACAGCACCAGGTGATTGCATGTATGAAATTTTCTCCCTCTCCTGGATTTTAAATAATTTTTTTTTCTTTTTTTTTTTCCAATCTATTCACCTATCCTGTGAAAAGAAATAAGGCTTTCAGGCCACACTTGACATATATGTGCAAGAAATTAGAACAGACCAGCAAAGAGAGAAGGCCCACAACTTTAGAAAAGGCCGTATCATCAGCTAACTTTTAGAGCATCTAAACATAATAGGAAACTCAAGACGAAAAATTCATAGTGTCCTGTTTTATGACCAGGTCTTTTGCCAAGGCAATACAGATAATTATCAAGAACTTTGCTTCTGTTTTTTTCTTTTTTTGATTATTCCTGCCTGATTCATAACATACACCATTATTATTATAATAAATTAACAGATTAAGTAGATGTTCAAATATTTTCTGTTTATGGTCATGTACACAACACTTTCTTGAGCATGTCTGAGTATTTTAACAATCTCATCAGAATGTGTTTGGCTTCTTGGAAGAAATAGGCTGCACAAGGCACGTGCGAAATGCAAGTTAGTACTTAAGAACTCTCCTGCTGTCCACTTGGCACACTGACAACACACACATTTAGATAAGACTTAAAATGTATTACTAAGATACAAAGCACCGCAATGGACAGAAGTGCTACCATTTGTATTGCACCATAAAAGAGATCCCTCTAAAGGCAGTTTAAAAAGGAGACAGAAATCCGGGCTAAGTATAATTAACACAAACCAAGACAGATTTTCTTTATCTGCAACTCACCTAACACAGGACAATGGTCCCTGTAGAAAGAGCCTCCTTTTGCATCTTGGACACATTTCAGGTCAGACTAGGGAAAGAGAGTAAAACAACTTTAGTCCTCACTGGTTGAAACTCCAGGTTACAGAGTTTGGTGGAATCAGAACTGAAATAAGCTCAAATAAGAAAGGCTGAAAACAACACACACACACACAACATGTCCTATAAAAAGGCAAACAATCTCTAATACATTTACAAGCTGTTAGCCTTGGCATTCACGGGATTTAATAACCCTTTGCAATACAGAGGCTTTACACTAATGTTTCATAAAGTATAAAATGTTTTTAACTCAAAATAATTACTAGAATAAGGCGAAGCTTCTATGCATTGGTCTGTCAGCATTGCTCCCTTCAACAACAGAAAAGCACACGAATGCAAATAAAGCGAGAACTTAAAAATGGGTGCAGTGCTTGATGTCCCAGCCTTTCGTGTACAGTAGTATTTAAGTCCTGGCAATGCTGTCCTTCTATCCCACACCTTTTCTAAGCAGAAATTGAAATTTTAACTTAGAGAGTAACATTTGGCATCCACAGTCCAAAATCTGAAGAGCTTCCTATAAAACAGAATACAACACCACGATTAAATAATAATAATGAAGACTTAATACAGCTCTTTAAGGAAAACAGTTGTAAAGACCAGGCCCCCGGGAAGCCTCTGCTCTGCATTACGCAAGCAGCAGCAGTTTCAAGCACGATAACCAGCCATAAACCCCGCAGAGTTCCTATAGATCCCCCTTCCTATAGCTTCCTCACATAAGCTTTTAAGCGGAGCGGCTGTCAGCTGGCACTGCCCTCCAGGGAACAAACCTTCCCGAACAAAGGGCAGCTTGTGCACACGGGGGCTTGGGAACGGGTAGGAAACTTTGCTGGATGTGACAGGACCCTGGCAGGAGGCGAGTGAGGAAAAAGGGCACAGGTGATGGGTGTGATAAAAACTGTTTGGCTTGATTTTTTTTTAAAATCATTTCTTATTTTTCTGCACCTAATATTTATTAGGACACTGTCCTCCTGCAAAAGGATGAAAACGAAACCTCTCAAGCCTTCCCAGGCTCCAAGACATTGATGAACACAACGCTACTTTACCTACAGGGACCTCTCACTCCTATGTGGAGCACAGCCTGAACTGGGAAGAACACCTGGGCACTTCCTAAGACACCAGTTAACACGGCCCGATCAGAACGAGATTTAGCCGCTCTCCAAGCTTGGCACCGCTCAGCACCCGAGCAGAAGGGCTGCAACAAAATGCTGCCACCCTGTGGGCAGGTGCTGGGCTCCACTGGGCCGAGGATGAAGCTCTGCTGACCACCCCAGAGGGCAGCTTGATCCATTAGCTTGGACTAAAAGCAGGATTTCATTTCCTTGGTGCCCCCGAGTACAAACTCTTCATGCTATGCGGCAACCAGCTGTCTGTGCAAGAGTCAAGAAGGGCTACAGATGCAAAAGGTATTTTTACAGACAGAGAGCAGGAGATGCTCAGCAGCTCTCCTTGAAAACGGGCAAAACTTGGACACGAGATCAACAGGGGTTACAGCAAGTGGAGATGTACAGGGCAGACTGATGTCTAAATCAGATAGTAGCAGGAAGTAAAAACAAAAAATCAGTAACAATATGATGGATTTTAAGTTAAAAGTCCATTAATATTCTGGAGTAGAAACGGCCAGAAAGCAGATTAAAGCAGATTAAACTTCACAAAGACAGAACCCTCCAGATCCATGCAGACAAGTCTGCTCTTTTCACCCTGCTGCACTATGCACAGCTTATTTCTGCAGCATGATGCAGCTGGCTGTAAAACAAGGCAGTAGCTTGATTCCACCCTCAGCTTCCTATCCATCTTCCTTTCACGCGTCAGGCAAACATCACTTCGGCAGAGAAGAGCCCGATCCGAGCACTGAAGCAAGGCAAAGTGGTTTTGGGGGCACTTGGGGGGACATGGGGTTAGAGGCCATTGGGAGAGCGAGGCCGCGCAGGTCGAGGGCAGCGTGGCCCCACACGGCCGTCCCCAGCGCCCCCTCCCTCAGCGGGTCGCACCGCACTGCTCCTCAGGTCACACAACTTCTCTTTGCTGCTGTACGAGGCTCCCCGAATCTCATGAAAGGACGGAAGTGTCAGATCGTTGGAAAGCAAGTGTACAAGCACAGAAGGAAGCATCCCAGAAGGCAGAAGTTAGACTGCAAGTTTTAGACTCACAGTGGTGCTGTACAGAGCAGAAAAGAGAACGCTAACAGCTGTGAGGCCCAGTCTAAATACACGAAGGTGAAAACAAAACTTAGGCTCTTATCTGCTAACTCAGTGGGGTTATCTTTCATTCAGTTCACTTCATTCAGCGAGTCCAGAAGAAGATGCTTTCCAGAAACAGGGCAAGCTATAGAGTTTGCGGACTCCGGGCATACTTAAAAAGACAGAAATTCCCCTTAGGCAGCAACCATAACCTGAAAGCTCAAGAAAAAGTGTGAGCACAAACACTCCACAGCAAAAACTACAAGCCAGTAGCTGATACATATGATGAGCAGATCATAGGGTTGTGTTTGTTTTTGCATACAGCAATTGCTCTGCATCTACCCTGGGACTTCCCTGAAAAACTCACAGCACCAGCAGGAGCTGGTCAGACTGTGCAAGCACCTCGAGCGGCTGAGCCCAATGGGATCCAGGGGAGATGCCAGTTTACTTGGGACAAGCCAGCCAATTACACCATTGGAGAAACAGGTGCAGTTTCATCATCACCAAAGCTCCTTTTTTCCTTCTCCGAAGCATTACAGTAATGTCAGCAGGGCTGGCAGACGGCACAGGATGACACCATCAAGCAATACATGACCTTGAAAAGTAAGACTATACCAAAGCAGCAGCTGCCTCCTGGATTAACTAGTAAGTTATTGCTATCACTATGGAATACCATCCACCAAAACCAGGGATGAAGGTCTGCAGACTCAGTCAGGAGGCTACTAACAAGAATGTTTGTGTTAGATGCACTGAATTGTTATCTATCACAAGCAATAAAGGATACTGGGGGGAAATTAAATAACAGGCACAATACGCAAAAACAACATCTGATGATAAAGCTTCGGAGAAGAGCGAGACCTCAGACAACTCAAGACAGAACAGTTTTTAACATTACTGTCTGCTAGAGAAGACAAGTTAGACTAAGGAAACAAGAGGCAAAACAAGGCGCAAACGATCACGTAGGCACACCTCATTTCTTCCTGGATTCAAAACCAGCTATCTGTGTCTGGCTATGTTGCTAACAATGTAATGCAAACATCTGCCCCATATGTAAAGATGGCCAAAATACGTATTCTCATGTCAGTTTTGATCAACTCCTAAAAGACAACAAGACAGTGAATTAAAAAAATAGTAGCAAGTTCTTTTTATTTAAGGAGAAGAAAGAAAAAACCCTGTTTACAGAAGGATGCATCATGAGAGGATACTAAACAATGACTTGTTTGAAAAAGCAGTGACAGATGCATTTGCCATCATTTATAACAGTAACGAGGGATTATTTGCCTATATGAAGAATCAGCATGATGGAATGAAACAATATGTCATTCTTACCATAAAGAGCTCACAATTTTCTAAATAACACTCAAGTCACAGTTTGCTGGTATGGAAAAAAAAAGTCATTTGTATTAAAAATAAAATCAACAGCTTTTCTGCTTTCAGCCATGTTCTGGTCAAGCTCACGGGTTGAGACAAATCTGCCTCTTGAGACAACTGAGACAACTACACAACTGTTTACAAACTGGATTCCTGCTGCTCTTTCTTAAACTCCTCAGTTTGGAAGCATTGGTGACAAGACACAGAACTGGGCAGCTAAGATCTGACTCATTCTACACTAACTGCAGCAGAAGGTATGTTTCTATACAACTAGGTAAGTGCGTTTCTATTGCAAGAGGCTTCCCATTTCTATTTTTAATTCTCATTTTTAAAAATGAATTGTGTGTTAATAAATGAGAATTAAAAATCCTCTGACATAAATTCAAGGTCCATCTTCAAAGATAACCCAAGTAAGCGTTGATGAACAAACTTGAACCTTTTTTTAAATCCTGACTGATGCCTAAAAAAAAAACACATCAAAAACATACGGGGCCGGGGATCTTCTGAATCTCTAGAGCGCTCTCAACTATTCAGACTTGTGTGGCGAAAGTACACAGCCACAGATGGCTTACCGATTACTCTGACAATGATGGATGATAACTACAGTTACTTCTTTCAGATTCTACGCAGATGAAAGTAAGATCCCCCATAATGAAGAACAAGAGGAGGGGGTTAATCACCACAGAAAAGGCAGGCGGCATTGAGCAAAGAAACTCAGTAGCACTGAAATGATTCCCGAGTAATGAAACAGACATTAGATTTAGGGCATTCCTGCTAGCAGAAGGCCCTAGTATTTAACCCATTGTTGTAAGTTTTTATAGCACCCTGTATTATCTGCTTTAGTAGTGGAAAAACAATGCTTTTTTAAAAACCAAAGCATGTCACAACTTTATATTCGTGTTTGATATGAAGCATGAAAATCTAGAAACAAGTCCAAAAAAATAGCTCCCACGCTTCCAAAGAACTCTCTAATTCCATATATTATATTTTTCACTACAAAAGGCTATGTTCACACATTTTTAAATTAAGCACATAACGTTAGGATAAGCAACGAAGGTTAGCAACTTAATTGAATATGATCTGAATATATATATATATATATGGATAGGAATTGAGGGTGCTGTCATTCATCACGTTAGACAACTGCATTTTATTCCTCCTAGGGATGCAAGCGAGGTTTTATCCAGCCCGACAGACACGCAGATTCCCGTGTGGGGATTTGGGGGCTCTATCAGCGTGACAGCAGAGCCTCCCGGATAGACACGACAGACGGCACAAAGCCAGCACGCAGCCCTCTCAACCACTTCCCATGCAAACACGGCAACAACAGACTCCAAAATATCTGAGCAGAAATAAATGAAAGTTTTCAGGCAGCAGCAGCACCTGCTGCCCCAACAGCCAATCCTTGTCTTTTCCAAGGAAAAGCTGGCAGGCTGGATAAACTCATTCCAAGGACCAGATGAAGCCTGTCAGCTATCAAATAAGCAACCCTGACTTAAGATAATAAGCTGTGTTTCCTTAATCAGCTCCATTTGTGTCCAAGCCAAGTGTTACTCATTTGTAAGTACAGGTTTCCTCCAGCTGTATTTACTTGGGCACACACTGTGTGCTGTTGATCCCACATTTTCTGTACATTCTTAATCAATTCCTAAGTCCCAAGACAAGTTTGCCCAGACTTTGACAGTCTATTAGCCAGATACACATAACAGCACTTAACTATTAGCAGAAAATCATGACAGAACACACACATTCCCAGCAACTAATCTGTTATCAAATTCAGCTTTACATTTAAACGACTGTGTCAAAGATGCCAAAGAACGGATCCTGTTTGAAGCAATGATTTTGATGAAATTAATGCAGAAGTATATTACAACCAGCAAAGCACCACAAATGTTACTGTTAATTTTATTAGTCCTATATCCAGAATCATGACATTCCGATGTTAAACTGACATGCTTCTCCCTCTGCAGGATCAAAGAGAAATGATGCAAAGACAATACTAATTAAGATATTATAGCAACTGCAAATCCAAGTAACCTTTCCTTGACCCACATCAGGGTAAAAAAACCAGCAACAGAAGGCACTTCTGCTAGAGTTTGACCCATTTCCTCTCTACAGCTGTAACAGCAGCTTTAGAAGCTACGAAATGAAAAAGAAAAGCTTCATGCTAGAGTAAACTAAGGTTGTAAAATAATTCATCACTCTCTCATTGAGAAGAAAAAAATCGTGAGAATTTTAAGTGTTTCTCACAGTTCAAAATCTGCAAATCTTGCTGCAATCACACCAACAAAAGTTGTGATGAAATTACCAGTTCAGGAGTTAAAAATATAGGGTGCTATTTTTTCCTCTGGTGAATTTCAAGATGGGCACAATATTAGCACAGAATGACTATTACAAATGTAAATCATAAATATTCACATACTCAGCCAGAAAGCAGTTCTAAAGTTTAAATTATTTGCAATAAAATCTCAGATTAGACTTTCTACCTAATACATATGTATGCTCCACACAGCTGTACTCACAAAGGCCCGACTAATAGCATGCAAACGGCTGGAGAACATCACAAAAGGGGGAGAAGAAAGCACAACAAGTTATTCTTACCACCCTTCCCCCAGCAAGCGTTTTTACCCTTTGTGGTCTTTTATACTCACCATGCCCTCAAAGCCAACTCTGTAGAGGTTTTTAGCACCATTGTCCCAGAGAACATATGCTGCACTATGCGGGCTCGATGCACTCCAGTCCTGGATTTCAGTTACCTATTTAATCAGAACAAAACAAAGACAGAAAATTTATTCTATAACAGAGATTTAAAAGCACATTTCAACTTCATTTTTTTTCCCCCTCCCTTGGGAAAAAATGTGGGATCTCGTTTTACTGAATTTCAAGAATTTATTCTGAAGATGTTTTCTGTGATAAGCATTCCCTACTTGTCTTAATGGCTGCAATCTGAATGTTTACTTTACGGGCCTATTTTTCTTTCATGCCTTGGCAACTAAACTAATTACATAAACATAGAACAAAATCTGTATTGTAAGTATTTATTTTGTTTTGACATGTTCTTACTAGAAAAAAAGAACTCTAAAAAAAAGAAAGTATAAAAACTAGTTTAATCACTCCCTTTTGTCTGGTTTAACCTGCCTCGTGGCAAAAATCTATTTCTAGTGCCAATCTGTTTAATCACGGGGCAAAAGAAAGTGAAAAGAACTGTTCCTGACACTCCTGAAGTCATGAGGCTGCACACCAAGTTATGAAAATGTATCCGTTACTTGAAGAATCAATCGGATTTATCTTCATTCTTATCTTTCTTTGGGTATTTATTTAAAAGCTTTCTGCTATCTTAGAGTTTATACCCATCTTGAAAACACTTTTAATACGTATTTCTACACATTTTCGGCTTGCAAATGATCCCACTAATTCTATGTACTAAATTTAATACATAAAGTAGATAATGTAGGATAACGTTCGTATTTTGCAAGGTTTCAGAGGTTTCAAAATAAGCTGCCAAATTCACAGCAAGAGGTAAATAAGCAAGATCTGGGGGACTTTTTGCTGTTGTTTTAAGAGATTTAAACTCGTAATTTCCTTTCAATAAAACCCAAAAGGAAATCCTCAAAGGCCTAAAGCCTATCAAGGGAATAAAATAGCCTAAAACATCACAAAATTCTTACTCAGAAACTCTGTTTCATTTTAAATGCTGTTTAAATATACTAAAAATAAAGATAACTAAAACATCAATTCCCCTAGATGGAAAGGGATTCAATTCTTACTGTGCAATCTCCCATGGTGACGAAAGTCACAGTGCATCTTACACTCCCTGCTATACCTTTACACTTGTAACAATCCTCTACTAATTCTCCAAGGAGATGAAAGCCATAGAAAACACACAAGGGTTATGATTAGCAACGCACCTTTCCAAGTCATTCCGTTTTCCACAAACCCAATTACTTTCACTAGACACCTATATCAAAAACACTTACAGGAGGTCCTAAATTAGATAACAATATAATACTTGCAACTAACTCTTGCAAAGTTCTTGCTTTTAAAATGGAAAGATGAAATTAGATGAAAATTATTAGATGAAAAATAAAAAACTTAGAAGCTAAGAGGTAGGTATAGACAAAAGCGGGGAGCCAGAACATGCTCATGACCGATGGGAAAGGGCTGTGCTCGAGAAACCTGTTGTTGCATCAGCTCTGCAGCAATGCTGAAGTACACCAGACCTTAAGCAGAACAACCAGAACAAAAACTTGTCCATTTTAAAAGCATTACATTGAAAGTGTAAACATGCAAATTTAAAATTAATCGGTCAAGATATATATTAATTGGTCATAATATAACAGCTCCGTTGTCTAAATGCTTTATCATTAAAGAATGCAACTCAGAAATGCCTAGAAAACATTTTACGTTTATGAGGGTATTTTTCCTCTCTAAAGGCCCCTGAGGGCATTCCATGACCTTCCAGACATGCATTATCTTATTCAAGCCAGTTTTCCTTTTACCTTTCCCCTACGCCCGTTGCCACCATCTTGATCTTCCCATTGCCAGTCAACTCCTCGCACCACCCTGGCACCTGCAAAGATTCCTCTTGCTGTGATTTTCTTGGATTTACGGCGAGACTCTAACAATACCCTAAAGTTCCAAGGGGGAAAAAAAAGTATCATGAAAAGCTCCATACCAAAAAAGCCCAAAATGATTCTTCGAAATCGGGAGGGCAGGAGAACATCTTGAAGACAAAAATAACCCCACAAACACAGATTTTGGTGCATGGATCACCTCCACTCAATTCTCAACTCAAACAGCAGCCTGCCAGATTGAAATAAAAAAGTCCTTCCTAAATCTGAGTTATGTGCTTAAAACTGAAGTTTTCAATCCTAATGAAAATCTCCTCAAACTTCTACTACTTCATAACATGTTTTTGAATAAAGAGCTGCCTCCCCCCCGCACTGTGTAACAGGGTTTACTTTTGCATGTAGGTTTACTACATACTTTATTACCTATCTTGGCCTATTTCATTCAATATAATCAGAATCCATTTTCTCAGTCTTATTTTTAAAACCATATGCTGTTTTCCTAAGACTCTTTCCAAAATCTGAAGAGACTAGCACATACAAAGTGCCCAAACTACAGTTCTTTATGAATATTGACCTGCCAATGGAAAGAGATAAACATTTTCCTGCCTTTTCAGTCATCTCCAAAACCACCACTCCACATGCAAGGAGCTTCCTTACTTCACGAGGTAAGAATGTTGCCAGACAAAAGTATTTTTCAGCTGAAACTCTGAACGCTTCCTGACCGCCTCAGGAAGTTGACACCCTCCTGCTCAACTTTTACCATCCAGCAGATGGCAGACAAGGAAAAAGTTAACAACTTGTTCCACTCGGTAAGAACAGCACCAAAATATATCAAAATATTAGCAAGTTTGATCTAATACAAAAGGGAGGCAGGAAACGCAATGAGAGATCTTGTTTAGAGCAGTATTTCAGACATATCTCAATATCTACAAACCTGAGACAAAAAAGCACTTTTACTTTGTATGCAGCCTATATGATATCGCAGTCTCAAAAACAAAATATGTCCAACTTTTGCTTTCCTTCATCTAAATGTCATTAGATGCTTTGGAGCATTTTTCTAATAAGCTACTCTCAAATTCCATTGCTTTGCTTTTGCCCTTTCTCCTCCCTCAAACAACTAAATTTAATCATTTTTCCTCAGCTAAGTTGGGTCCAAAAGAAACAGCTCCTTGGCAGATGAAGCATCTAAGTCAGGGCTGCAAGACAGAAATCAGCCGAGGCAAATGGAGAGAGGGGGAAAGAGACAAGATGCAAAAGATCTCCTGCAGGTGTCTATTTTGTCTGAGTTTTTAGCTTGTTTTAGCTGGAGATAAATTCTATCTTATGCCACCAATAGAGACCAATTTAAATTATACAGGAATCTTTGGCTAAAGAGAAAATGAAGAAACAAAAGACAGGTGTTCTCAAAGGCTATGACAGTTTTAGAAAGGTAGCAAACTGCAAAACAGTTTTGAATTATTATTTATTTTCTAATAAATACTCTAAGCACTTTCTACTCAACATCTAAGTTTTGCTCTGCATTACAACATTGCAGTTCAGACACTAAGCTCGTGATCCTGTTTGACAACTAGACCTACCGATACAAATCTCAAAAAAAAGAGAAGTTATTTTTTCCATCAGGCCATTAACCTGGGTGCTTTAGCCACAGTTAGATGTGCTCCAACAGTTTACCTCAACTATAAAGGCACAGCTACAAGCACATCACTAAATTATGACCCTTGTAAACCTTACTTCTCTGAGAAGAAGAAATAAATCCTCAGTCACACACACGCCACATTTGAAGAACTCTCATGTTCAAATACAATTGCAATGACTTTTGTGTCATTCAGGAGAATTAGCACAGAGCTGACACAAGTGTCACCTTATACACCTCTAAAAGTATTTGTTAATGGGCAAATATCACCATTCTCACCTTACAGGTGGATAGATCATGACAGAGAGGGGACTCTGGACACAAAGCAGTCATTCAAAGCCAAAGAACACAAGAAGAGCTACTCAAAAACAACCTAAAGGCTCCTGTTGTTCCCAGTTCTTCTCCAGGAGACTTAGTAAGAGGAGTAACTCTACACAGCATCTTTACTCTGTAATCAGCAGTTTAAGGAATTTGAGTTAGAGTTTTTGCAACCAGATCATTATGTTGATAGCCCACAAGGGGCACATTATCCATCAAATTTGCCCATACCATTTTTTGAACGCATTTAAACTTTCAAATTTAGAAACTCATTGACAAGTGATGCTGTAATCATGCACTGTCTAAAGACAATTGCCTTCCTCTAAAACCTACCATCAGGCAACACGAGAACTAGGAAGCACCCAGTGAAGTTAAGTAACCTCATAATCACATCCTAATTTCTTTGCGCTTTCTAAATCTCCACATTTAAAACATTTTCCAGGTGCAAATATTTTAGTCTGTTTATGCTCTCTCACAATGAGACAGCGCCAAGAACAGAATCTACACCTGAATCCACTATATTCCCACCTAAATTTCAGTAAACCAAATCTGTAGTGATAGAAGTTAACCTCAGTGAACTGTTCCTCTTCAATTTCACAGGAGAAAAGCTGCATTTTACCTTTCACTTCCCGGTGTGGTAATTCTATAAAAGCGATGCCTCAAGTGATGCTTGTCCCCATGATAGCAAACTGTGCACAAGTCATAATTGGTGCATTCAGCACATTTCCATCGTATACCAATGATCGGTTGCTGTCGACACGTATCACACATAGTCCCATCGTGCTTGATACCTGAAGGAAAAAAAATAAAGAATATAACTATACGTATATTCAGAGATTACTCTAGGAGAAATAAAATGAGGGCTCCTGTAACTTACAATTAAACACGTAGCAATCTGCATGCTAAAGGAATCCGGAAAATCTGGAATTCCATCTCTGGATAAGTGTCTCAACAGATCACATACCACAAGGAAACGGTGATCAACCAGGCATGAGTGTTTGAGAACTTTTTTTTCTACCCATTTTGTACAAGAGAAAGATATAGGAGTTTAAACTCTATTCACTTAAACATAAGGAGAAACTGAGCTCTCTGACAGAGACCATTAGCTTCATGAAAATCCATGTTACTGTCCTGAAGCATTTAACTACTTTATGTTGCCCATATCAAAAAGAATCTGCTAATAACGAATCAAAAGCAACCCAAAAGCATTTGTCCTTCCCAACTCTGAAGAAAACAAAAAAAACAAGTTCTCACATCTGTTCATTCTAGCAGCTTTGCCAAGCCACAGCTGAGTAACAGTGATCAGCCAGAGAAATTTTTACTCGGTGCATTTTGCATTTTGAAAAAAATGCATTTTTGAAAAAAAAGGCAGATTCCGCTGCTGTTTGGACTGTTTGGAAATACTTGGGCAACAGAAGAGATTAGTATGACCCTAGCACTCAGTACGTAGCACAAGACAAAAAAGGGCACTAGAAAACTCGAGTTACACAGAACTCTCCCACTCACTCATCCTAAAAAAAAACACACACAGAGGCCTTTGGAAATAGAAAGGAAAGAAAATGCTTCTTCCCTCCAAAGGGCTTCTATTTTGGATGAGAGCAAAATTCATTATGAATTTCTTATCTGTGTTCAATAGCTAAGCCACTTCGAAAAAATCAGGAGTTGGAAGGCAAAACTGAAGGTAACAGAAAACTGAACCCTGTCTGAGCACAGCACAGAATAGCTGAGGTTGGAAGGCACCTCAGGAGGTCACTAGTAGACCACCAATCCATTCAAATGCTGCTCAGAGCCACATCCAACGGGGTTTTGAACATCTCCAGGGATGGAGACTCCTCTAGTGCTCTGGATTTGCTGCTTCTGTGTTCAGCCACCCTGTATTTCAGCTTGTGCTCATGGCCTCTTGTCCCATCCCTGGTCACCACCAAGAAGAATCTGCAATTAAGAAGAATCCATCTTCCTCACAGCTCCCTCAAGCAAATGCATCAAGACAACCCTTCAGGGTCTCCTCTTCCCCAGGCTAAACAGTCTCAGCTCTTTCAGTCTCTTCTTGCACATCAGATGCCCCAAGCCTTTAACTACCTATGCAGCCCTCCAGTATGTTCGTGTCTTTCTTGCACTGGGGAGCCCAGCACAGCACATGGCACCGCAGGGGAGCCCCTCATCACTGCTGAGCAGTGGGGAAGGACCAACCTGCTGACAAGCCTCTGCCTAGCGGGGCCCACAATGCTGGTGGCCGCCTGTGCCACGAGGGCACGTTGCTGGCTCACATTCCACTCTGGTGACCACTGAGACCCTATGTCCTTACCAGGAAAGCCACCCTGCAGCTGGTCAGCCTCCAGCTTTCACTGGTGTGTGGTATTATTGCCCCCTGCTTGCAGGGCTTGGTGCTTTCTTCTGCTGGACTTCACAAGACACCTGTGAGCTCCTTTCTCCAGCCTGCTGAGATCCTTCTAAACAGCAGCGCAAGCACCTGGTGCTCCCTGTGCGTCATTTCTTCTAACCACAAGAGCTTCTCTCTCCAGTCTTGACCAGAAACATGTTCAGGAAGATTTCCAGGCTCATGATTAAACATTTCCCTGATATGTGAACACCAGAATAGAATCGTATCTAGTTAAGACTAGAGAAGGTACACATTTGGAGCAAAGACTGAATGCATCACTGCGTTAATGGAACTGAGCAGCATTTCGGGGCAACCAAGGACCACCTTTGGTGATGCTGAAAACCCTGAAGCTTCAGACATTATGTTAATAATCACTAATTCTTGGAGCACCTTACGGCTAAGGTGGCATTTATATATTGACTACAAACTCCATGCTGACATTTTGAAGGCATAGCACAGACAGCTGCTTAGCTGTAAGCTAAACAAGTAGTTTATCAGCTCCAACTGCTGGTTAACGCACCTCATATAGCTTAAAACAAATCAATGAAGAGCGATATTAACCAGCGTCGGCTGGTAACAATGACAACCAAACCCACTATTTGTCCACAAAACAAGAACTTGTAGATCTCCCATGTAAGGTTTTCCGCCCACATACAATTCCGTAACTCCATTAAGGATCTTGCTCCGAAAAGGTAGGAGTAACATCCAAGGGGGAACAATCATCCTCCTTCTGTACACTGAGACTTTGATATCTGCTATCGGTTCATATCTGCTACACCCCAAAAGACAGTGATAATTATGATCTGAAAGTGGCTGACTCAGTGCTGTGAATAGTATGGGATGATTACAAATATCATATGATAGTCTTCAAGAGCAGATGCATTAAAAGGACTCAAATCGACAACTAGTCACTACTTCTGTTGCTCTGATTCAAATTTCTACTTGGCTGCAATGTTTGGGTTGGAATTTTTTTTGCGGGGGCCACATAGGGGGTGGCTAAAAAATGGATCAGTAAATGTGGTGTTTCGCATAGCAGCAGAGAAGTTTTGGACACCTTTGGAATCATTCAAGTAGTTACTAACTTTATGGAAGACTTTGTTACCTGAGCTGACTGTTCACTATCATTTTACTCTGAATGCAAAATGGCCATGGCATTAGCAGCCTGAAGGATCTCTGAATTTGTGCAGGTGGTGAGGAAAGGGGCAAAAGCCTAAGCAGGAGCTATATAATACAAGATTAGGTCATTTCATGGTAGACCTAAATCAAAACTAAACATTTCAACTCAGCCGGGCAGCAGCTGCTGTGGAAAATCCAGTGGGGTGAAGTGGATTAAGAAATATACCATGCTGAAAGACAGTCGGAGGGAAAAACATCCACCTGGACCACTTTCCCAATCCAGCTCTTGGCAGCACTGCATTTAATGCTGGTGGCCGAACAAGGAATGTGGCCCTCAGTGTGACTCCAGTTCACGCTGGACACGTTTCGGGGAAGAAGGGAGACAGGAGAGGATTTCAAACCAGCTCTGGTCCAGTGGTTTGAATGCTCTTCAGCAACTGGGTCACATCAGTGAGGTTTTTGTTTTGTTTTATATCAAAATGGAATCCAGTTTGTGCTCTCTGAAACCACACTGTGAGGCAAACCAAAGCGCTGTAAGCAGGAACAAGCAGGGGAGACAATCAAGGGCAGGCTCTGGGCTCAAACTAAAGGGCTATTCTAAATGCCACCTGCATCTATCATGAACTGCTCCTGCTCCTTGAAACGGCTAATTTGAAAAGAAAACACAAACTTTATACAATTAGGTTTAGGAAAGAGTGCTTTCATTAAACCTGTAGAACATATTAAAGCACCATCAAAACTCCAGAATTCCAGTATCAGCACTGCAACTGGTCAACTATGAAGGAGGAGAACACCTCAGATTCCTAAACTAACATGATGCAAAAATTCAACCTCCAGTCACCTTCCATACCGGACTTAAAAGCACTAGGTGGTAAGACTGACTCTCCTGCCATGCACAGCTGCCTTTAAACAGCTTCCCCCCAACACGAGTACACCAGCAAGTCCAGCATTGCTAAGCCAGCATTACTACTTTCACGATTTGCTTATCATGCTCTTCTCCTACCTTTATCGCTCTATCTCAGAGATTTTCATTTTCATCATCTATTCTCTTATCTTCCCTGCATTACTGAGGCCGCAATCCCTCTGACACTGCTTATTTATAAACCAATTACAGTTTTGAAAGTATGGCCTGACCCCAACAAAACAAGAAATCTCAGAGGTAAGCCCAGTTTGGGGAAAGCAAGAAAGGAAAACTCAAACCAGTGTCCCAGTAAAGGCAATTCATCCCTTGAACACTGCAGTGGTGGCAGCTAGGTCCTTGCACAGGAGACTCCAGGCTCAGCAAAGTGTGTGCCCCATCTCACCTGGTGACGGTGCCACAAGACACAGCACGAGGAAGAGGGTTATTGGGCAGGAGGAGGTTAGAGAGCAAATGACATGTCCATCAAAAAACAAAAAGTGTGTTTCACAAGTACCACTGCTCACAACACTATCGGACTTCTAGTTATAAGGGGCTTTGCTAGTAATTACAAGTAACTACTGGCGGGAAAAAAAATGCTTACTAATTGACTTAATTTGATTTGAGACAAAGCAAGAGTAAATAAACAAATAGAATCAGACAAGGTTCAGTACTTTTAAAATGTTTTGACTTTTTTGAATTTGTGATGATTTATGCAACTTCTCAGATTACAGCGACAAACCAATACCAGCAGAAAAAGGGAATCAGATCTCCAGGAGACACGGCCTAAGTTTTCACTTAGCAGAAAACAGCACATAGAGCTGCTCAAACCAGAGGCAGGCTCGCTTTAACCAGGTGGTAGGGATCAGGATGGGACCTCAGCGAGGTCCCACTTCCTGACACCAGCTCCTGCTCCAGCCCTTCGCACACACGAGCATAAGTAGGTAAATAATTCAAGCAGGAAAGCAACAGTGCTATTTCGAACCAAGGATCCGAAAGAGAAAATGGATAGCAGAATAAACTTTGTAAGCTTTTTTAAGCTTTGTAGAAAACATCTTCAAAGGGAATAAACAGAGAATTTTTATGCAATGATCACAAGTGTTAACGTGAACACTACTGTACAGCCTGCACCTCCCACAGGAGACTGCCTCCCTTTTAGATACAAACCTCAGTTTGCTGTGCTCTGGCATAGAGCTGCAGATTCTGTTCAGCTACCCAGAAACTACTCCTTTCCGTATCCTTTTCTCAACACCATCAGAAAATACGGATTCTCAAGATCCACTCAGTTCTCTTTTTAGTTCTTTGAAAAATAAAGCTGTTTTGCAAAAGGCACTGGATTTCCTCATGAGCAATCTGGCCACTGCTGGCCATGCAATGCACCCCATCTAACCACACACTCCTGGTTTAGTAACTCCTCTTTCATGATGGCCATCCTAAAATGCTGGTACTAACATCTTTTTTTAATAAAAAGTCTGCATAATATTGCAATTGTGATTATAGCTTATAATTATTAAAATGCAAGAACAATGTTTTATTGACTAAAAAAGGACTTTTACATCAAGCAAAATGCACTTTTTTTTACATCAAACAAAATGATTAAGAGCTTGTAACCATAGCTAGGCTTGTATAGCTAATAAAAAAACTCCCAGTAATAATTGTTTTCTACTGCTTTTTTTATATTTATTTTCATTATAAATTTTCACTCATGTTCTACTGAGAATTTATTGGCCAAAGAAAATTTTTGTTTTGTTTTTTCCAATCTGTAAGATCCAGATAATTGTGCTAATTACCAGCAAACAAACCCAGAGGAGAGAACACAACCCACCTCCCCTATTTTATAACACATTTTTGTTCAATAAGATCATTACTGATATCAGAGGTAGGAACTCCCGTCACTAGATTCCACTTTTCCTATAATTACTTACAGCAAAATTCTCTAGGGGTCCCAGAAAGAGTATTAAAATCCCCATCCAAGCTCAGGTCATCCTAGAACTTTCCACTTGACTACAGTGCTTCTCTTTGGCTAATGCTTCCTTATGAATTTCGACTCTTCCTATCTCCAGGCAACCGTGACCTCAAAAATAAACTCCCGCTGGCCAAAGGCAACTCTGGGTTGCTTCTTATAGCAGTTCTGCCCATCCACTGGGCTTTGCAAGTGGTGTCTCTGTTTTTGAGGTTTTTCTGGCCAAAAAGGAACTTTTTGTGTGCTTATGAATTCCCCAAGAGCAATGTACATTGTCCTATCTGAAGCAGAAATCAAAATAACACACACACAAATAAAGTTATAACAAAAAGTATAACTATAAACATTGTAGGAATTATAAGAACTATAGAAAAAAAATATAAGCACTAAGGAATTCTAGAGCATGAAAAAAAATCAGGACTTAAAGCTAAGTATCCAGTATAGGTCTGCAGATGCAGTTAACAGGATGCTGTCAGCCTGCAAGCGAGTCAAGCAGAGCAAGAACAATGAGCATTCAAGGCCCATATTCAACATTTATGCATATGTTTATTTTCAAGCAGAAGCAGTCCCACTGGTTTCTACAGGATATTAAACGCAAGTTAAGTTTCAAAGCCTACGCATCTGCAACACAAGGACCCACAACTTTCAAGTCTAGTCTTAATTTGTTGTTCCAAGGGCCATTTCAAAAAGATTTTCAGCTGAAGTTTCATTAACATCTACTTCCCAAACCAAAGCACAAAAACAGGGGAGAGGAGGATACTGACACAGGAGGAAAAAAAAAAGAAAAAAAAAAGGAGAAAAAAATCCATCTCAAAGGTTGACAAAGACCAAAATATTTTCCCCCTCCTTAGCTCCATTGTGCTTATTAACTAGAATGAGTTCCATATTTCCAAGGTGTTAACTTCACCCTAGTTCACTGTATTTTCCCTCTCAGTTTTACTCTACCTAGTTGGCTGAAAAAACCCACCTCTCCTCTCCACCATATTCCAAATAAAAAAACAGGTTATGAAAACAGCACGTATCCAAGCAGCGTCCAACAAACCCGTCCAATCACCTCGCTATTAAGGTAATCCTGCCAGGCCCTGAACCAAGTATTTTCCCCATGAAACTCAGCAGCATTTTTTTAAACGTTTTCACTGTAAAAACAGGCCCTAAAGGGACCATCCTCCTGCAGCGTTTGCCACACCAGCGCTGCCGCATAACGCCAGTGCAGGACAGCAGCAGCAAAGCGGGCAGGCGCTGCAAAGCCACAGTCCAGACTCCCTGAACTTAAACCCCAAACATCAAGCAGTCGGGAAAACAAAAGCAGGGACGTGTTTTTCGCTGTTTTGGGGGGTTTGTTTGGTGTTTTGCTCTCCGCAGCAGGTCTGGCACCGCAGATAAGGGGCAACGGGCGCATTGCAAGGCAAGGTTGGACCCCGACCACTCGCTTAACGCCATCCTCTCCAGCAAAAAGGCCCTGCACCCCCTTTTCCTCCTGAACCCCCGACTCTGCAAAGAAAAGAACCCCCCCAAAACATAAACCCGAGGCTGGTGGAGGGAAGAGAGGGAGAAGGGGCAGGGAAGCAAAGCACCCCCGCTGCCCTGCTGGCTTTGTGCAGGCCTGCGAGCCGCGGCACAGCTTCTCCCCGCGCCGCAACCCTAACTTTGGACCTATACACACACATATACATGCGTATGCGTGAGGGCCGGCGCTCACCCGTGGGCGCGCTGTCCAGGATGCGCAGGTCGTAGGCGCCCGAGCAGCGGTAGTTGGCGGCCGTGCCGTTGTCCCACACGACCACCACCTCCTCGGGGCTCTCGAAGCTGCGCACGGTGCCCACGTGGCCCTCGCCGCCATCCTGCTTGCCCCACTTCCAGTCGGGGCCGCGCACCACGCGCGCGCCCACGCCCTCCACCATCACGCGGTTGTTGCGCGAGCTGCTCATGCCGGCGGCGCCCCGCGCGGGGCCGTTCCCCCCGCGCCCCTCGCCGTGGTATCTGGCCTTGCCGCCGCCGCACGTGAAGGGCTTTAGATGAGGATAAATTCTTAATCATCGCAATAATCAATCACTCTTTGCCTGTAATTTCGCGGGAATTAGCGCTGCAGACAAGCAGAGGGCCAAATGGTAATCGGGGGCCTGGATATCTTTATTGACTCGCCAGGAGAGCGTCTCCATTAAAGCAGAGAGGGGAAAAAGTGTGCCYGGAAGTTTCCCCTTCTGAAACATTAAAAATAAATGAATAAATTAATAAATAAATAAAAGACACAGAATTAAAATGTTTCATCTCGAAACAGCCCTGGTGGCTTCTGAAGCCGGTCCCTGGTTTGGGCGGGACGTGAGTGGCGGYCGAGGGAGGCAGTGCCCGTTGCAGCGGGGCGCTCCAGGGGCGGTATCYGCGTGAGGGTGCCCGGCTGCGTTTCGGGACTGGCAGCTGCCCCTTTGTGTTGGCTCTGCCGGGAGCAGGGCCCTGGTTTGGGGCGTGCTGGGCAGCTTTGGGGATCCTGTGCCACAGAGGAGCCTTCCCGWGCCGAGAGAGGCTCCCGCGGCCCAATGGATGTTTTTATTGCCCCAGCACAGCAATAAAACACGAAATACATGTGTTTTATTGAAATTAACGTGTAAATGGGATGATTGCTGTGTGCACTGTCCTCGCGCCAGCTGGGACGGGGAGCACCCAAGGGACAGGAGCGGGGAGGTGCAGGGCGCCCGCGTGCAGCGCCTGGGACGGCAGCGGGATGCGGATTCGCAGCACGGACCTGGARCAAACCCCCCCGGGGCTTCGGATGTCCCCTGATTCCCAAGGCCGCCGCCCCTCGCGCCGGCCCCGGCAGGTTCCTGCCGCAGGCGCTGGGATTCCAGCCCAGAGCTCCCTGCTCCCGCGGGGGCACGGCCAGCGCCRGCATGTGCTGGGACAGGGCCGGGGACCATGGCTGGAGCCAGCAGCCGCTCTGGAGGYGCTGGCAGGGCCGCGGCCCTGCGCTCCCCACCCAAACGCACCCGGCTGCCGGCCCGGGGCYGCGTTCCCAGAGCCGGCGCGGCCTTTCCGGGGGCAGCTGCGGCCCGGATAAGAAAATGGGAAAAAACTAACGTGAGAAAGTGGAGGAGCAGCTGATGCAGCAGCGGCCGCCAGCGCGTCCCCTTGGCGCGGGCAGCAGCCCTGGGCCTTCCCTGCACCGCCTCCCGTTCCAAAGGTGCCCGGCAGCCGTGCACCCAGCAGCAGCTCCGTCCTTCATCCTCCATCCTCTCCTCCACCMTCCTCTCCTCAGTCCTTCTCCATTCTCCTTTCCTCCATCCTTCTCCATTCGCCTCTCCTTACTCTTCCTCTTCTCCATCCTCCTCTACTCCTCTCCTCATTCCTCCTCTCCTCCACACTCCTCCATCCTGCTCTCCTTGCTCCTCTCCTCCACGCTCCTCCATCCTGCTCTGCTCCATCCTGCTTTCCCCCATGCTGCCCTCCTCGCTGCTCCTGTCCTTGCTGTGCCCATGCTGTGCTCCGTGCCCCTCCGGGGCAGCCCCTGGATGTCTCTCCGTGGCCGGGCTCGGGCTCCGCTCTGCAGGCGAGTGCCCCAGTGCCACCCAGCCCGGACGAGCCCTCCCCGCGGCGCAGGTGGCTCCTGTGGCCACGACCCATGGGGTTTGGGGCTCCCGGCACCCGCGGCTGCCCCGGGCCATGCAGGGGGATGTTGGGGCAGCCAGCAGCGCCAGGCTGGGACCAGCCCGGCCCTCCACGCTGCGGGATGAAGGCTGGGAACGCGGGCGCCGGGGCTTCTCGCCCCGCTAGAGAGGCCGCCCTGGGGACACCTCCCCTGCGTGTGGCCGCCGGCTCCGCTTCCTCGCGTGTCGGGTCCTGGCTCGGGCAGCCTGGGAGCCCGAGGTGGCAGGAGACCCTGTGGCACCACCCTGGGCCCGGGAACGGCCCCGTCCCGGGTGCCACAAAGGGCAGGGCCCCTTCCCGCCTGTAGCCAAGGGGCCGCCGAGGGCCGCACAGCGCCCGGGGCCCTGCCCCGAGCAGGACGGGGCAGCGGAGCGCGGCCGGGCGGCCAAGGACCCCCTTCTGCCGCGGGCCAGGCGCGGCCCTGGGCTCCCGTTGACTGCGCCGCTTTGCCTCCTGCTTTCTTCCACTCCTCTTTTCCCTTTCCTCTCTCTCCACAAAAAGCCRCAATCTCTCCCTGCTCGCTCGCTCCGAGAGCCCGTGCAGTTAATTGGAGCTGCTTGTAAGCGAACGTTAGCGCCAGGAGAGCCAAGACGACGTCTTGGCAGCGAAATATCATTATCAGCTCCTGAGCTCCAGCCAAAACCCCGTGCGGTCAAAACACAATTCTTTAAACTAAACAATTAAAGATTTGTGCGAGTGTTGGTGCCACGAGCTGTCGAGGGCCGCGTGGCGCCGGGCCGGCAGGTGAGGGCCGCGCTGCCGGGCGTCCCCGCGACGCGTTGTCCCCGCCGCGCCAAGGGAAGGCACCTGAAGGGACCTTGCTGTGCGCAGGGGGTTCTGGGGACAGAGAGCACCTTGTCCGGCTGGTCAGCAGCTTTCCAAAGAACGGAGCTGCTCGGGAAGGGAAGGGAAGGGAAGGGAAGGGAAGGGAAGGGAAGGGAAGGGAAGGGANAGACGGGCGGACGCAGGCCGGGCCCGCCGCGCATGCGCCCCGCGCCCCGCCGCCCGCCCGCCACTGCGCAGCCGCGGCAGACCGTTAACGGCAGACGTTAACGGCCGCCCCCGCGCGCCGTCAACCGTGCCTGTGCTGTGCGCCGACCTGCTCTGAACGCAGCTTTTTCTGCTCCTCTTTGTGCAAATTTACCATCGGAAATACACACTGTGACCATTTCCGTCTGCGTTTCACAAAATGTCCCCTTTAAGTCGTTACCTGCTGCTGCCCAAAGAGCGGGTAACGACTTTCCTCTTCCCCCCTATCTCCTCAACTGTTTCCCGCGTATGCCCCGTTAAATGCTTTCTGAAACCTAGATAGCCGTTATTTAAAGGAGGAGTTACAGGCAACATTGTACCACTTTGCCATGCATGATTGAGCTCTATTTTTTTTTTAAATTAATATTGCATTTTCTGTATTTTTAATTACTTTTGTACCCCAAAAGAACCTTTTTTTTTTTTTTTTTTTTTTTTTTTTTTTTTTTTTTTTTTTTTCTCCTGAACTGGGAATAGAAGCCCTTTGTGCTATCAAGACTGGGCTAACTGGGCTGTGTTTGCCTCGTGCTAACAAAATATAAATAAAACTCCTGTAGGCCGGGAGCTTTCTTTGCAGCTGTCCTGGCACTGAGGGTAGCCAAGCTGTGCTGTATCCTCCACTCCTCCTACCGCAGGAGATCCCCTGAGCAAGACATACATACTCAGACTCCGTGCGTATATCTAGAATATGAAGGATAATCGGTCTGAAATTTGAATGATAATCACTTTCACAGTATTCAAGTTTTTTCTTTAACTCCATAATCCTGTGTCATCTCATGTAGGATATGATTCTTCCATATCCTTCCTGTAGGACCGGATTCTTCCACAGGATTCAGTCCTCTTACTCATTTTTTTGTTCTTTCTAGGCATGCTCTGTGTTGAGTTTCTTAAAAGCATCCATTTTAAACAGCAGATATGTCTGAACAGCGGAAAAAACAGCACTTCTCAGTCAACCATCTGATAAAAAGCAGCCCAGCTCCCCTTGTATCCTAGGTAGTTTTACTTTTTTTCTGTGCTTCCTTCCATCTTTGTGCTTATTAATATGACTGGAAGAGTCTATGAAATCATTTCCTGACTTCTCTTGTGTAGTTTTCTCACAGTGTGTACAGCAGAGCAGCAAAATATGAACATGTAACCACCAGGCTCCCACAACATTCCTCATGTAATTCCTTCTTTCCTAATCCGTACTAAGACAAAAGAGTGTTGCCTTAAACATGGATTTTACCCTTATGGTAGGCACTCCCAATCACTGTGTCTGGTGATGCAGTATCTTTCTCCCATAGACATCCTCTAGAAACCTCAAAGCACAGGCAGATACCACCCTAGCAAAGCATGCCTTTGTTTGGCAGTTTGGCTTTCCTTGCAAATAGTTTTCCTCATGCAAAAGGTACCATAGCTTGTACTAGCTTGTTGCATTTAGTGCACTTAATTATACTTAAAAATGTATAACACATGGCAAATTTTCCCGTGACATTTTTGGGCGTTCAGAGTGTTTGCTTTCATGTTCTATTGAAAGTTTTAGGATCTTAAGTTTCCCAACTGCCTAATTCTGATACTTTGATAGTCATGGGCGAGTTTAATGTTAATGCTTATCTAAGGATAGCCCAAAGCACATGTTTTCTATTATTCCTGCGAGATAAAAAGTTGCGACCAGGAAATACATGCCGGGGAAACCAATAAAGTCTGAGATCAGAATTAGTGACACTTCTGCTGGAGAGAATCAGAAGAGTTCATGCCTTACATTAATTTTACCGGGGAATATGTCTCCAAGTTATAAACCTTAAGAGAGCCTGCTACTGTGCTTCAGCAGCAGCGCATGGAGCAGAAATCATCCCAGAGGTTTAGACAAACCTTCTTCTGACTGCTCCTGCTCTCTGTATCCTAACAGCCCCTGCTTCTCCTGCTCACCTGCTTTTATCATAGCTATTACGAGAACCAGAATCCCTGAAGGTGCCTGGGTTATCTTAGGTGCCTCTGACTTCTGTATATGAGAATACAGAAAATAACCAGGGCCTAGCATTGGCGATGCCCCCATAAGCTATGAAGTGCTCTGTCTGATTAAAATATACATGCTCATTTCATTTTAATTGTGCAGTAGAAAATAAATGAGTGAATAGACTAATCTCAAGAAGTATATTATTTGCTTTTTGGTGACTGCATTTCTGGTGACCTATTTCTGAATTGTCCTGTTGCTTCTAGATATTGTGTTGACAAGAGTCCTACATGGCCACAAAGCTGTGGAAGTCACAAAATTGCCATTGAC